GTCGAGTCGGTTCCGACCCATAGCGACCCTGTACAGGGTCTCCGAGGGTGTAAATCCTTACGGGAGTAGAAAGCCTCATCTTTCTCCCGCGAAGCGGCTGGTAGTTTCGAACCGCTGACCTTAAGGTTCGCAGCCCGATTCGTAACCACTACGCTACCAGAGCTCCTTAAAGGTACTAGACTTGCAAAATCGCTTTGAACCTCAAGGGCGGCAGTTCAAGCTCACCAGCCGCTCCTCAGAAGCCCTATACAGGGTCGCTATGGGTCGGAACCGACTAGACGGCACTTAACAACAACAACAACCCTCTTGGCCTGGCTCCAGGAAAACTTAAAATCCAGTCCGTGGCTTTATTTCTCTGGAAGGTGCTGCTTCGTTGCACGTTTGTCAGCCGCTGACACCAGACTTAAGAGGCACTAGTCCCGTGCCTATCAACTAGACCCCCTGCCCCGGCTGCGACTCCCGCCAGGGGGATGTGCCCCCTTCCCCCCTCAGGCTCGGACTGCGCCCCCACCCCTGGCGTCTGGGCTGCGCCCCCACCCCATTCTCCCCGATGTGCCCCACCCCCACCCCAGGCCACCTGCTCTGCCCCCCAACCCGCTGGTTGCACCTCACCGCCCCACCTCTGGCCCAGGCTGTGATCCTGTCCCCCCATCCCCATCCCTGGTCCGAAGGCTGCAGGTGGGCGACGAAACTACCTGCAGAGCAAAGGGGCGTTTCCTGGAAGGGCCAACTTGACCCGGAAGGCGGAGTCCAACAGGGCCCTGAGACCCGGCGGCGCCTCCCACCCGGACTGGACCCTCTGAGTCCCGACCTTGGCAGACTCATACAGGGAAGCCGGGTAGGCCAGCAGAGGGAGGAGGGACGCGGAGGATCGCACCATTCCACTGCATCTCGACCCCAGCCCCTGCTTTCCGTCCGCGTCCGCCCCCCCAGACCCACCGCCTCATCATCATCCCTAACCCTCCTCCAGCCCGCAACCCCTCTGAGCCCGCCCCCATCCCGACTCCTGTCTGTGGGTCCTCAAAGCCGGTCCACCCGCTCCTCAGCCCAGTCTTTCTACTGCCCCGTCCCTGGTGAGCCCAGTTCCTGAGGCTTCGCCCCCGGCCCGCATCTTTCTCTGACCCTGCCCTGGCCTGCCCTCTCCTCTGGTCCCACCCCGAGCCCGTCCCTCCCCTGGCCCCGCCCCGCGCTGGCCCCGCCCCACGCGGCCGCCAAGCCCAGGTTTCCTGGCAACGTAGGGACGCGAGCTGCGGGCGGGGATCCGGGCAGGTGGTGCACGTAGCATGGCCTCGGCAGAGGCGCAGAGTGCGGCGGGCTCATGGCAAGAGCAGGGGGATGAGGACGACGAGGAGGAGATCACGGCCGCCAAGCTGCGGGGTCAGCAGCGGCCATCGCCCATAACGGCGCTGTCTGCCTTCAGCTACATCCCTCCGCGCCGCCTGGACCCCAAGGAACACAGCTACTACTACCGCCAGAGCAAGGTGGGTGGCGGGGAGAGGTCTCCTGGACCCCAGAGAGGAGAGCTGTGGGGAGGAGAGGGAGGAGGAGCCTCCAGACCCCAAGGACAGCTACCAATGCTCCCAGGGCAAGCTGCAGGGGGCAAGGAGGGGGGAACAGGCCCCTGGACTCCAAAGAGGGGAGCTGCCAATGCTCCCAGGGCAAGCTGGAGGGGACAGGGAGCGGGGAACAGGTCCCTGGACCCCAAAGAGGAGAGCTACCAATGTGCCCCGGGTAAGATAGTGGGGGGTGGGGAGGAGAGGGGCAACGGACCCCTGGACCCCAAAGTGGACAGCTACCAATGCTCCCAGGGCAAGCTGGAGGGGGCAGGGAGAGGTAGTGGGCCCCTGGACCCCAAGAAGCACAGCTACATCTACAGGCAGCACAGTGGGGTGATCGAAGGGGACTGGCCCCAAAGTGGCAGTGTTCCCCCACAGGGATCAGGGCAACGCTGGAGCCTGGGGTTCAGGGGGGATGCAGGAACAGAGGTGACCAGAGGCCTGTGGAAGGTATGGTAGGTGTGGGACATGCCCAGGGCTCACATGAAGGAAGTGCCACCAAGCAGTATCCATTAACCCAAAGTCCTTCCTCAGGCAAGGTGGACACAGGGGTGCAGGAGGGGGCACAGAAGGATAGTACCCCTCACCCCCAGCACAAGAAGAGGTTTGGAATGACATCCCGAGGTGCTACAAATATGAAAGGGACCTGACTGAGGCAGCCTGACAAGAGGGGCGCAGGAGGGGGGAAACGGGGAGGCAGTTGCTGCCACATGTATTCATCTTGAAATTGGGTTTAGCTATTAGAAATTATCCGGGCCCTGTTTACCCTCTCTATGTGACTCAGGAGATGAGGTCAGATGCTGAACAGAGAAGGAGGGGGAGAGCCTACATGTCTGGACCCCCAAATCCACATACCTGGACAGCAATGAGACGCCCCCCAGGGGGGGGGTGGAGGGTTAGAGCCCTGGACGTCGGGAGGTGGCAGGCTCTTACACGTTGTGAGGGTGTTGTACAGTGGGTCAGAACTCCGGGGACATTCATCTGGGGAGGAGCTATGCAGCGCAATGCTGGGACCCAGAGAGGACACCTAGAAGAGTAGGAGGGATTGGAGGAGACGGGTGTTTGGACCCCCAACCCCAATCAGCAGGGTGCACAGTCAGGAAGAGGAAGTGGGAGCCTGGCCCCCTCTACTGTGGGTCAGCAGCATGGGGACCCAGTGTCCACCTTCCAACCTAGGGGGTGGCTGTGGCCAGCCGCAAAGGGAGGTGGATGGGTGGGCTCTAGTTTGGGCATCACTCGTCTTGCTGAGTGTGTTCCTTTGCACAGTCCTTGCGTCCAAACATCTTCTGTGTGTTTGTACCTGGTCATTATTTGTACACGTAAGCACTGGCTGGATCAACCCCGCGGAGATAACTGGACCAGATCTGCCCGTTAGCCACCCTGTGGGATTGAGAGGCCCAGGAGTAGATCTGAGGGATGGGGTGAGAAGAAAGGATATTCCCACAATGCACCTTTGCCTCCCTCCTTACACGCACCATCAATAGCACCCAGTCGGTAACTACAGAAAATAATGCCTCTGAAAAGAGGGGCAGTGTGGGTAACCAGCGTTAGGACTGGAACCCCCTATGTACCAACCCTTCTTGTAAGACACCACTCAGAAGGAGTTAGGACCAGCATAGCACCCCCCGCCCCACCCCCCATGTATCACCCTTTTCTTATAAGACACCACTCAGAGGAGTTAGGACTGGGACTCTCGCCAGCATATACTTATTTCACCCAACTGATAAAAGAAAATCCCTCTTCTCCCAAACAAGGCCTCATTCATAGGATCTATTCAGAAGGGGTGGGCCTGGGGGCAGACACCTGGTGTGTCCCATGCTGTGAGGGTGCAGGGTGGGACTGAGGCTGGCCATCGGAGACCCCACACACTGTGATTAGCTATCCATTCGGGGTTCCCTGCTGTTAGGCTTTCTGGCATTGGGAGTGGCCTGTGGCTTACCCAATGAAGGTAAATGAAAGATAAACTAGCACGAAAACCTCTCCTTTGACTAGATTATTGAACAATGCAGCTTGAAGAAGGCTGGGATGAAAACTAGACGTATTAACAGATGATAGCCCTCTTCCGGGGACAGTTCCCTAACACATCAGAGCTGCGGTGTGCATGTGTTTATATATAAGGAGCTCTGGTAGTGTAGTGGTTACGAATTGAGCTGCGAACCTCAAGGTCAGCAGTTGGAAACTACCAGCTGTTCCGTGGGAGAAAGATGAGGCTTTCTGCTCCCGTAAAGATTTACAGCCTTGGAAACCCTGTACAGGGGCACTATGAGTCGGAACTGACTCCACGGCACATAACCACCACCTTGTTTATATATGTATATTTTCATAGATATATGTCTGTCATGCATTCATTTACATGGACTATATGGAGTTTCTGGGGGTTGCAAATAGTGTAACAAGTTCAGGTGCAAAATAAAAGGCTAGAGGTTCGAGTCCACTCAGAGACACCTCACAAGAAACGCCTGGTGATCTACTTCCAAAAAATTAACCATATGAGACCAAAAGGGCAGCATGTGCCCCAAATCAAAGGTCAGAGGTCAGGAGGAGGCAGACAAAGGGACATGGGGAATTCAGGAAGGCAGTGGGATAGGAACAATATATCAAAGGAGGACCTGCAACTAGCCTTGTAAAACCAGGAGGATCCAAATCATTGGCTAGAAAACTCACTTGCTCTGAAACCTTTCACCCAGTCAGTAACTGAAAAAATAAAAACAGCCTCTGTAAACTCTCTGGAGCCCAGTCCTCTGACCCACACGGGGCCTCCGTGAGTTGGATATGACTCCACACAGCTGCCTTAATGAGAGATGGGGAAAAGAAACACAAGTTCCACAGAGCGCACCCCCACCCCACCCCATCCCTGTCAGCTCTGGGTCACTGTGTGTGACCAATACTCAGACAGTCCTCAGACTCTGCATCTTCCACCCCTGTTTATTCCCAGACGGGCATCGTCTCCCTCTATGACTGTGTGTTCAAAAGGAGCCTTGACTACAATCAGATCTCGCACAGAGATGACCGGGAGCATGCCAGGAGCCTGGGCCTGCATGTGAACGACGAGGTGAGAGAGGGACGGGGTGGAAATGTGAGGCCACGCTAGGATCAGCTTCAGCCTGCATCCTGGATCCCAGTGGCTCACCCATGTCTGACTGTGCTCAGAACCACATGGAGCTCTGTGGGGGGACTCACATATCTGCTCATGATTCCGTTTTCTTGCACAGAATGTTAGCTTGTGAGAGCAAATCCGGAAGTATTCATAGGACCGACATTAAGGGGTAAGGGACTAGATGGAAGGTTGGCAGCTCTGATCCACCCGGAGAGAGCTCGGAGATCTTCTCACGGGCCACGCCGCCATGGAAACACAATGAGCGCAGTGTTACTCGGCACACATGGGTTTCCCAGGAGGCTGAATCGATTGAACGCAACTGGCATTTGAGCCCTGTTGGTTTTGGCTCGTGGACACCATGTGACAGAGTGCACCTGCCCCACATGGTTTTCTAGGAGGTCATTTTACAGCAGTATAGCAGATCTTATCTCCTGTAGAGCCGCTGGGTGGGTTTGAACTGACAACCTTTGGGTTAGCTGCCACGCCTTACCCATTGCTAAACCAGGGCTCCTTTTTAAAAAACATTACTTACCTCATGTTTGGCAGGGTGGAAGGTCAGAGAAAAAGAGGAAGACCCCCAGCGAGATGGATTGGCAAAGTGGCAGCATCAATGGGCTCAAGCGTGGCAATGATAATGAGATTGGCCCAGGATCAGGCAGTGTTTCGTTTTGCTGTGTATAAGGTCGCTATGAGTCGGTATCGACTCGATGGCACCTAACAACTACAACAACATCTCCTCTTAGGGGTCCTGGTGTTGCACTGTGGGATAATGCACTAGACTGATAGGTCTATTTGAACCACAAGGTGGATGGTTCAAACTCACCAGCAGTTCCTAGGAAACCCTGTGAGTCATAACTGACCAGACGGCACTTAGCGACAACAACACCATATTCATTTATGCATTGGGCTGTGAACTGAAAGGTCGGCAGTTCAAACCCACCAGCCGCTCCTCAGGAGAAAGAAGCGAGAGTAACCCTTGTAAAGATGACAGTTTGGAAACCCTAAGGGACAATTCTCCCCTGTACTATAGGGTTGCCATGAGCCAGAATCGCTAGATGTTGGTGGGTTTTGATTTTATATCCATTTATTCAACAACAATGACATTTCGGGCACCTCTATGTAGCACCAAAGGAGCTCTGGTAGCGTAGTGGTTATGAATCGGGCTGCAAACCGCAAGGTCAGCGGTTCAAAACTACCAGCTGTTCCACGGGAGAAAGATGAGGCTTTCTGCTCCCGTAAAGATTTACAGCCTCGGAAACCCTGTGCAGGGTCTCTATGAGTCGGAACCGACTCCACAGTACATAACCAACCAGCCAACCAACCATGCAGTGCTGGGAAAGACATAAAGGGAATAAGATAGATGTTCCTGGTTCTAGAACTTCCATTCCCAGGAAGAGACCTAACCATTAAAGGCAACTTCATCATGAACTCATTCCAGGCTGGGTCCTTGTCACACAGCAAAACAAAGGCCTGTCAGGGGATGGAGGATGGGCAGGGATCCTTCTATAGCAGGCTGGGTGGGTGGGCCCAGGGTGAGAAGGGGGCTTCAGGAGACAGCCAGTAGGCACATGCATAAGGAGCTAACAGGCCAAGCAAAAGCCTGGGATCTGGAACGTGCACTGGGAGTTTGGGGGAAGACTGGGAAGGCAGGGAGGAGAAAGGTTTAGACAGAAGGAGCCGTGGCTGGGACGCCAGGGTCTCAAACCTGAAACCATCATGCAACTTCTGTCTGTCCTTCCAATGGCTTAAGGGTGGTGGAGGGCTCTGGGCAGAGGCAGTGCCCAGGTTAGGGCCAAGGGAGACTGCACTGGCCACTACCTGAGAGGATGGTGGAAATTCAAGCGTACCGAGAGGCACCTCGGAGAAAAGGCCGCGTAACGTACTTCCAAAGACTCAGCCACCACAAACCCTGTGGAGCCCACTTCTGCTCTGACACACACGGGGCCACCCTGAGTCGGAGTAGATGGCCGGGTGCAGCATTTAGGGAGGAGCCCTGGTGGCACCGTGGGTTAAGCGTTTGGCTGTTCTGTGGGAGAAAACCTGGGGCCATCTGCTCCCGTAAAGATGTACAGCCTTCGCAACCCTGACCGGGCAGTCCTACTGTCTGACAGGGTAGCTAGGAACTGGGATCGGCCCCATAGCAGAGACTTTGGTTTTCATGGAGAGGAGACAGCAGTGGCCGGGGGAGTCTGCTCAGGTGAGCAAGCGCCCATGTGTCTTACCTGTTGGGCTCTGGGCACATGAAGCCCAGACTCCCAGCAGCAGGGTGGGCTGAGCCACGGTTGCTGTGTGCCCTGTGTGGTGTGTGTCATGTATAGGAAATGTGTCATGTGTGGTGCATTGCATGGTGCCTTCTGTGCCACGTGTTGTGCATGCATCATGTGCGTGCTGTGTGTATGATGTGTGTGGTGTAGGTGTATGGCATGTATGGTGTGTGGTATGTGTACCCATGTGTGTGTTGTTTGTACTCTGTATGATATGTGCTGTGTGTGAGGTGTGTAGTGTGTGAGCCCTGTGTGTGTTGTGTGCTGCATGATGTGTGTGGTATATGACATGGATAATGTGTGTGCCTTGTATGATGTGTGTGCTGTGTGTGCCCTGTAGGACATGTGCTGTGTGTGCCTATATGACGTGTGAGCTGTGTGTGCGCTGTACGATGAGTGTGCCCTGTGTGATGTGTGAGCTGTGTGCCCTGTACGATATGTGTGCCATGTGGCCTGTATGATGTGTGCTGTGTGCTCTGTATGACGTGTGTGCTGTGTGTGCCCTGCATGACATATGTGCAGTGTGCTATGTATGATGTGTGTGCCATGTGTGACTATATGACGTGTGAGTTGTGTGTGCTCTGTAGGATGTGTGTGCTGTGTGCCCTGTGGGACGTGTGTGCTGTGTGCCCTTTAGGACGTGTGAGCCGTGTGTGTCCTGTAGGACGTGTGTGTCGTGTGTGCCTATATGACGTATGAGTTGTGTGTGCCCTGTATGATGTGTGAACCCTGTTTTTGATATGTGCTGTGTGACCCCACAGGAGCGGGAGCGGCCGGTCGGGGTGCTGACCTCCTCCATTTATGGGAAACGTATCCACCTGCCAGTGGAGCCGCTAAACCGGGACCATGGGCGTGCCAACCTCGTGAAGGCTGACTTCTACCGCAAGAACGACATCAGTAGCCTCAAGGCTCCTGGCTTTGGGCACATCTCTCCAGCCTGAAGCCGCAAGCTTCCAACAGCCTGTGGGGGACCTGCCTCAAGTGAGGCTTTCAGGGGAGACCTCTGCAGGGTGACTGCCCCACCAGTTGTCTCGTTAGGGACCTGGTCCTCCGCCTCTAGGTGGCACGGCCAGGGGCCTGGTTACTCTGAAGCTGTCTGGATGACATGCTGCTGGAAATGGATTCACTGGGAACACGTAATAAAGAGAAACATGCCTTCCTGGACCCCACATTCCCTGTGACTGTCTGGGGGTCACGCCGCCTCTCCCTCACCCTGCCCTCTCAACCTCGGTGCTTCTCCTCCAGAGGCCAGAGCTTCAAGGACCAGCATGGGGGCGGGAAGCAGCCCTGGTAGGGATGGGGGGCCTTCCTCCCTCCCTCCTCAAAGGAGACCATAGGATAAGCACTGGACTGCTAACTGCGGATCGGCAGTTCAAACCAACCAGCTGCTCTGTGGGAGAAAGAAAAGACTGTTTACAATCTTGGAAACCCTGTATAGGGTCACTATGTTGTTGTTGTTGTTGTTAGGTGCCATCGAGTCAGTACCGACCCTATGCAAAACAGAACGAAACACTGATGGTCCCGCACCAACCTCACAATCATTGCTGCTGCCACCAGGCCAATTCATCCCTCTGGGGTTCTTCCTCTTCTCCAACCCTCAACTTTACCAAACATGGTATCCTTCTCCGCCACTGGCCTTTCCTGATAATAAGTCCAAAGTATGAGAGACGAAGTCTGGCCATCTTGGCTTCTAAGGAGCACTCCGGCTACACTTCTTCCAACACAGGTTGGCTTGTTCACTTGGCAGTCCTTGGTACTCTTAATATTCTCCTCCAACACCGTAACTCACGTGCATCAATTCTTCTATGGTCTTCTTTACTTACTCTCCAGCTTTCACATGTCTATGAGGTTGTTGAAAAGACCATGACTGGGTTCAGGCGCACCTTAGTCTTCAAATTGACATCTTTAAAGATGCTTTATCCCGCAGGTTTGCCTAATGCAATTCGTCATTTGATTCTTGACTGCTCTGAGTCCTGGGGAGTCCCGGTGTGGTGCTGTGGGTTAATGCGCCAGACTGCAAAGCTGTTTGAACTGCAAGGTCTGTGGTTCAAGCTCACCACCTGCTCCTTGGAAACCCTATACAGGGTCATTATGGGTCAGAAACAACTGGAGGGCACTTAATCACAAAGAGTCCTGGAGGAGTCCTGGTGTGGCACTGTGGGTTAATGCACCAGACTGTGAAGCCATTTCAACTGTAAAGGTCGGTGTTTCAAGCGAATCAGCTGCTCCTAGGAAACCCTATACAGGGTCACTATGGGTTGAAATCAATTCTATGGCACTTAAACAATGAGTCCTGGTGTGGCAATGGGGTTAGTGTGCTGGACTGCAAAGTTGCTTTGAACCACAAAGGCAGCGGTTCAAGTTCATCAGCTGCTCTTGGGAAACCCTATACAGGGTTGCTATGGGTTGAAATCGACTTGATGGCACTTCACAACGATGACAAGTTGCTCTGAATCGGAATTAAGTCGATGGTAGTAGATTTGGGTTTTGGCTTAATTATTTATTAATTAATACTTCCTAAATGGACTGGCCAAGTGGCAGCATCAATGGGCTGATGCATGGCAACAATGGTGAGGTAGGCCCAGGATCGGGCAGTGTTTCGTTCTGTTGTGCATAAGGTCACTATGAGTTGGTACCAACGTGATGGCACCTAAAAACAGCAGCAATAATCTGGTGGCTCTGTGGGTTAAGTATTGGGTTGCTAAGCACATGGTCATCAGTTCAAGGAGAAAGGTGAGACTTACTGCTTCCATAATGATTTATTGATGTTGTTAGGTGCCATCGACTCGGTACCGATCCATAGCGACCTTATGCACAGCAGAACGAAAC